TTTTTTTTTTTGGAATATCATATAAAGGATGCAGCCAGCGAACTCTAACTGACAAACGTGGGATATTCGCTTCACCTAACTTTCCAAGTAACTATCCATCAAATGCACACTGTACTTGGAGAATTTCTCCGCTTACCTCAACACAGAAAATCGTGATTATATATGAAGACTTTGATGTCGAAGAAGGCTATAACGGAATTTGTAGGTATGCTGATACGAATTAGGTCTTTGCTTAAATGTAGAACTGTAGGTAGCACAGTTTAGTGTTATCCTCTCGTAATAAGTGTACCATCCAACTCAAGTACATCTTTTTAATAAAAACCGGTGACTCTTCGCCAAAGCGTATGATTGCACTTGGTGGAAAGAAGTTTTCAAGTATGTATGCCTGAAGTCATGATGGAGTGAGGATAGTTTGCAAGTCTCTGAAAGTATTTAAAAATGCTGACACCAGGCTGTAAAAGTCCTGTTATTGCTGGCATTCCAGTAAATCTTATGGCCAGGGCATCCTACTGAACCCATCTGAAATATTCATTATGATATAGTTACGTATTTTGATTTGGTGGTGGTGGTGGGGGAGGGAGGCGGAGGGGAGGGCGACGCGTAAGACTGCATATAAAAGGGCATTCAAACTTCAATGGCTTGGCAACGAGAAAAGGCAAAATAATTATTGGGAGAGTTATAGATTCTCAAACCACCCTGTCACGAGGTCCCTGCTAATATTTATTGATTAATAATCATTAATATTCATTAAGCTGTTGTGTATTAGTTGATTTGATCTTTTGATATGTTGCTGTCTGTTCACCAACGGAATTATTATTGTAGCAACGACTTTGTTAAAGTRTTTGACAAACCTGGTAAGGTGYCATCAAGTGTTGTTTGTGGTAAAAGAAATCCTTTCGCAKTCGTTTCGGCTCCAARAGAARTAATCACATTGCTTCRATCAGATGGAGGCTTGGAGAAAAGAGGTTTTCAAGCTGTTTACTTTCTTCTAAGTGACGAAGATAAAGGTAATTTCCWATGTCAGTCTCTATATATCTAAGTATATCGTATTAAACATCTTCTATAAAAGCCAGGGAGAAAATGATTYTGAATAAATTTTGTTATCTTATAGTCATACGTTTAGCGGTTGGCAACAAAAATGCCACTGCAGCATCATTGTCTTGGGAGGTACCCTCGTCCATGGCAAGTTYCATCGATTGGTTTTATGTTTTATACAAACAAGATGAAGGAGATCAAAATTGGAAAGTACTCAAAACAGCAAAGTTAAATGTGGACATTGGTGGCCTTCTCTCTTCTACACAATATATTGCCAAAGTCATTGGAAATAGCAGTGCAACAGGTTACTGGAGTAGTCCAGTGAAGTTCAGGACATCACATTGTAAGTTTGACATTACCACCATGTGCATATTTAACTTTCTGTAGGTCTCTGGTACTATCATAATAAACTGAAATGTAAAAATGTGTTGTTTGATCTGTTACTACCTTTCCACGCCATCACAGAGCAGAAGTGTCTTGATCAATTTGTGTTCCTTGGCAACATGTCAATAACACATGATGAGAGTTAATCAGAATGCCGGACATAAATATAATATTTATTCACTGGGAAAAATCGCGCGCTTTAAAGGTTGTAAATTTGATGTATATATGATGTAAGTGTCCAAAATGATGTAAATTTGATGTAAATCATTTCCATCAAATTTACATCATTTTGGACACTTGCATCATATTTCCATCACATTTACAACTTTAAGGGGCGCCAATTTAGTGCCGTTATAATTTATAGAAAAAGCAATGATAAAGTAACTTAGAAAATACAAATCTTTTTTTTACGCGGAAAGCATGCAATTTATTTTTTTATTTTTGTGTTTTTGTCAATTAAAATAGTGCCAACGACTGCTTCAGGTGAAAAACCATCGACAAAGCTCACAGGTAACGAATAAAGTTTTCAAGAGTTGTCAAATGAAAAACAATCCGTAAATAAATATTCATCTCTGAGCAAGGTTCTCTAAAAAGTAAAATTGCTATTAACAGAGTCAGTGAAGCTGATGTATAGCTATGGTACCAGTGAAGGAGACCTTACAATCCCCAACACTAGGGAATATCGGCATCGTTGTTTCAAGATTGCATTTAATGACGATGGCTTTCTCTTCGTGACCAAGAAACACTACCACATATATGTGAGTTAACCTTAATAGTCTCCTTCACGGTTACCTGCGCCATCTTGAAAGGTAGCCGTGCCTTTACATCGAAGCGAGACAACCGTTGAGCGTGCAATGATAGATACCTGTGAATAATTGTCTGTGCGGCGTTCCAGAAAGAAGGTTTCTATCACTGTACATTCAACGGTTGTCTCGCTTCGATGCAAAGGCACGGCTACCTTTCAAGATGGCGCAGGTAACCGTGAAGGAGACTATTAGTGATCATATGCATGATGGAGATCGCATTTTCATTTAGAAAACGTATCCTTAGTAAGAGTTAGTTTCCGAAAACGGAGGCATTACGCTATACACAGTCCGAGGGCTGTTGTAAAACACAGCGAGCTGAAAGCGAAGTGTTTTCAAAAAAACCTCATACAGATCGCATTCGAATATTGTATATTACTTATATGGAACGTTGAGGTAAACTTGCTCAGGTTTTAAAGMAATTTTACAAAGAAAACCCAGTGAATCTATAATATTTTTTGTTCATTAGGTATGCCGCAATGGTGTCATGCGTTTTGATAGTTCTTCTTATCTTCAATGGCCAATGAACTTTGGCACAAGTTCTAAGTATTGCGACATTGATGTTTTGGCTCCATATTGGTCTCTAGTCAACAGGGAATATTCGCAAGTTTTCTACCATGTGTATTCAACGCTAGACAAAAGTGAAAAGTCCAAGAAGGTCCTCGATCAAGCAACCTCCGACGTTCGTTTGCTAAAGCAACACCCATTACCATCCACTTTCAAAGCTTCATGGGTACTTGTCGTGACATGGGATAAACTTCATCACAATAGAATCAATACTCATACAAAAAGAATGGTTAGTGGATTTCTACCAATTAACTACTAATCTGAATATATTCACTCAAATTTATATTTCATAATCCTGCCTTATCTATTTTTAGGTAACATAAAGTAATACTGCATTTAGGAATTTCCTTACGAAGTTCATTACCGTGTTTTATAAGGGCAACTCCTATAAAAAAATAMAAATTGTTCTAATTCATCCTTATTAATCAATGCACAGAATGTGATAATTTTTTTACATGTAAATTCTGATAAATATTTTCAAATATTTGGCATATGGTTTTAMATTCGAAGACCTATTTCTCTTATGTTTTAATCCAAATTTCTYGCGAYGTTTATTTCTCCAAAGCATAGCTTTTACAATTTAATATGTATCAATACAATATATCTTGGAGTCATTAGAGGTTTCAAAAGTTGAACGTTTTTGTAGCAGTTTCCCTTTCGTAAAATTACGACACGCAGACATTGTAGTAAGCGGGATTTTATTTCATTCACTTTTATTCAACTTATTAATAGCGCGCTCATGCTGTTCAGTGGGCACTAACTTAATCCAACGCTCTCTTGTAAATTTTGGCAACGGGTTGCTAATAGTAAAATTCTGTTTTGACAAATTCGAGTTAGAACTTCTGCAAGCATGAGTAATATACTAACTATGTATGGAACGGTCAAGCATTTTTTTTTTAYTTTCGCAGAGGAATACATTCCAAGCAGTTCTGATAACAGACGGTGTGTTTTCATTCGCAATGTACAACTATCCCACAAACGGAATTCAGTGGTCAGCACCAACGTCAAGGTGAGAATAACTTTCATTTTCATGTTCGATATAGTCACTACTGCTGTTTTATAATACTTTATTTCATTCTCTTTTTTTGTTATTGTGATCTGTTTATTTTTTATCTTCTATTTATTTTATTTGGTTCTATTTTGACTTTAATACGTTGATACTTTGATACTTTTTGCTTTCTTTTCCGAACGCTTGGCAATTGTTAGACAAAATTGGAAGAACTTTGCAAATGACAAGGGTCTTCCTGTTGTTGGTTGGAATGCCGCAGGCTGCACTAGGTCAAAAATACCTTTGAGCTATTTCAGCGAAGAAAGGTTAGTTTCATATACACTCGCAATATGCGTAGTTCGTATTAATGCTCCCTTATGCTGTACTTATCATTAGGTCTGGAACGGTAAACGTTGGAGACATTGACGATACYAATGGTACAAGCGTGTACTTTAATCAATTTCGMAAAATTGATTCAAAACCAAATGGCATCCAGGGAAAATGTTTTTTTGAGTTATATAGGCCATGGAAAGTATCTGAAGGCGAACGAAAATGCAGAGTATGGTTCAAAAAGCAACCAGACCCAAGACCTTTCCTGGAAKTTCTCGAACCATGTCCTTGTACYTCTCGACAAGCTTGGTTCGATAAACGGTTTTCTCCAGAGTCTAGTGTGGATCAGTGGCRGACTTGGAGGTCAAATCCAAGACCCTGTGCCGTTTCAACATTTCCTTCCATTGATGGATGGGATCAGAAGTGCTGCTATTCMCATGAATCTGAACAGTGGGGAGCGTTGSTTGAAGGTCATCCTAACGGAGGYTGYTCACATAGATACAGTAAAACCAAAAGCTGGAGAAGACATATGAAAAGCGAGGTCTTGGCTTACAAATATTGTTGTGTAGATTCAAGTCTTTGCCATCTTTTCTATCAAAGAAGACCTTCGGATGACTGCAGTCGATATGAACCACCAGAATGGAGTAAGTTTAATGTGAAGTGGTTTAGATTCAAAACTTCATATTCGAAAAGAAACAGAACCGCCTCTCATGTAGATTGTCAATTGTGACCGATTTCTTTTTATTATTATTATTATTTATCTTTATCACTATTTAGGTTGGATGTGGGGTGATCCACACATTGTTACCTTGGACGGCAAAAACTACACTTTCAATGGACTTGGCGAGTACGTCATGCTCGATGCTAARAACGGTTTCTTCCAGCTCCAATCTAGGACACGACTAGCGAAAGGAGAAGGGACAGCGACGATATTTTGTGCAGCTGTAATGAAGGAATACAACTGCAGCACTTTGCAGCTCAATCTTGCAGAGAATAGTAAGTCATCTTCTCTGGCTTGCATGGCTCCAACAGTGCACTCTTGTTCGACTCTCCATTTCCACAAAATATTCTTTACATTAAGACATGCCTAAAATGTACGCGGATTTCTGCTTACTCACTTAAAGTTCTGGTATGCCAGATATAGTCAATTGTTTATATTTCGTAATGCTTCATTATGATAGAGGTTACATATATCAAGCAACTAAGAGGTGCTTTTTTTTCGTTTTCCAGGTTCAATGTCTGTGCTGATTGATGGTGAACCACTAGATCTTGAAGGCATTCAGAATGGTTCTACCAGATTACATGGATCAGTAGTAGTTGCTCGCCCTCAGGAAAACTCATTTGAAGCCATATACCCGTCTGGAATTTCAGTGACACTTACAGAATCTAAAGGAGCACTGTCTATCGTAGTTGCTTTACCCAAATCATTTCGAAATGAAACGAATGGTCTTTTAGGAACTTGGAATGGTAACAAACATGATGACTTTACAACACCAGAAGGAGATGTTCTTCGTCCAAATGCCACTGGAAGAGAAATTCACTTTGAGTTTGGACAAAAATGTAAGTTAGTTGGTGTTGGCCTCTGCCAGACAGATCTCAATACAAATCGATCATTTATGATTTTCTACTCCAAGGTGTTCCTTCAATATAGTTGTGACTTTCTTCTTTTATTATGTGCTTTTATTTATCGTACTTTCATTTAATTATTCGAATGTGAGAAAAATATATAGTGTGGCACCTTTGTATTATTTTTTCTTACTTTAATCAGGGCAAGTTAACGAGACGAATTCCTTGTTTACCTACTATGCCAAAGAGTCAGTCTCTACCTTCTCGAACACCACGTTTATACCTATGTTTGTCGATGAGCTAACGTTTGCAGACAAAACCCTCGAGAAGAAGGCCATAGCTGAATGCAATGGTGATGTCAACTGTTTGTTTGACGCAGCCTCTACAAATGACCTTTCCGTGGGACTGGACACCAAAGTAGTTAGTTCTCAGTTGGTGAACRATTCTGCAATTCTCAGTAAGTTTACTTGTTGTTTCTAAGCTAAGATAATCGTCTATCAAAAAGGTACATATTCTGGAGAATGATATTTTCGGATAAGTTTCCAATGAACAGCGACCCTCGCATTAAGTTAACCGCATTTTAAAAGTTGTTCTGAAGGAGGCGTAACGAATAGATTTACTTATGTCCACTTTTTCTCTTCAAGGCAATTCTCCACCAAAATTTCCAAATTATACATCTGCAATACTGCTGACAATCAATACTACAAGGCATCTTGAAATTCCTGTCGAGGACAACGATGGGGATTCTGTTAAATTTAACGTAACTGGATTACCAAAAGGTGGCATTGTCAAAACAAGCAATTCCACAGTTTCCATATCGTGGGATGTTTCGATGGAAAAGGTGTGTTTCTTGAATATTTTCCTGAGCTTTGCGATCAGGGATAGCTAAAATGTTGACAATTTAACGTACACATGACATTCATAACACTCTTCGCAGGTTACCCTTTCATTGGACCCCGCTAAATTCGCTTCAATAAAATGTTATGTTGTTATTATTTTTGCAATAGCGGGCATTCCTTTTTTAAAAGTCTTTGCTTCAAAAACTCATCCATGGTGAGAAATTGCGAGGCAAACATTTTCGCTAGATGCCCACGGTAAATCATTCGCAGGACGTCCTGCGCAACCGAACAATTGTCGTGCATTTGTACCCAAGGTTGAAGATCATTTTTATTATTTTCTTTCTTTTGCATAGATAGTGCATATAAGAGATATGATCAACTTTCTTGTATCATTAAAAGACTTTTGCATAGGATGTCGCAAATATTTCCCCAGAGAGCTTTCAGTGATTGCATATGAATAAAAGGACGATGATAATGCTTTTGACAGAAAAGACGTATGAATTTTGAACCCTTATTTTTTTAGAAAAAAAAAGTAACAAGGGAAAAATGAAAATAAATTAAAAATGCTATAGAGAAGGAAAAGCATAAGAATTCAGAATTGCACTGTTTATTATTGTAAAACGAACAAGTGAAAAAGGGAAAAAATCACGTTATTTTTCTTAACTTCAGGTTAATCTTAAGGTGATTGCTACTGACGACAAGGGAGCGGTTTCTGTTTTAAAACCACTATTCCATCTTTGCGCATGTCACAATGGAGCGAAATGTATCAAACCACCAGATGGAATGCAAAGCCAAACCGACTCTAATTTTAAAGTCCTGCCATGCCGGTGTAAAAGTGGTTACGCAGGACAATATTGTGAAAATGACATCGATGCTTGTAAAGTCAATCTAAATCCATGTTATCCTGGGGTTGAGTGTAAAGATCTTCCTGCTCCAGCAAATGAGAGTGGGTACGAGTGTGGACCCTGTCCATCTGGACTTTCAGGAAAGGGTGACTCGTGTGAAGGTATGAATTATCAGTAAGTGGGAGCAACCCATGTTCTTTGGTTAGGGGCGTTAGATTTTTATGCTAAATTTAAATTTTAGGAAATTAAGATATGAATATGAGGACTGTATGGCACTATGATAGACAGGATATAGGTCGCGAGTTAGGAAATTAATTTTTCCGAATTTATCGTTAATGGCCTTTCTCCTGGAACTGCCTTCTTCTAAGCACTATAAGTTTCTTTCATCTTTATACTTTAGGAAATTAATCGAGTTTGGCGACACCTCATCCGTAAATTTCAACCTTTCTAATTATTTTTTTTTCTGATTATGATCTCCAATTCAATTAAAACGAAGTGATATAATGCTTCGTGTTTAGATTTTAGCGAAATACARGGCTAGATATAACGCTGGTTTCTAATTATATTGGTTGAAGTCTTAAAATTTATCTAGTATTCTCCACATAATATGTACATGAGAGCTTTCAATACTTCTATATTTACATCATCTCTCCGTATCAGAGGCATGTATCTTTCTCATTTTGCTCTTTTTTCTCCATGGAGAAGGAAAGCCTTACCCTGTCCTCACACTATTTTTGTCGAGTTATCTTTATCACTGATACTCTTTACTTTATCAGATATTGATGAATGCGGTTATGGCTTCAATCATGGTTGTTCACAAATATGCTACAACACCCCTGGTTCGTTTATTTGTGGTTGYAATGATGGGTATACACTTCAAAATGATGGATYTACTTGTCAAGGTATAATYCATATCAAAAYTGGCCCATGTTTTGGAATATATARAATAATRCTATTTGTTCCTCTCATGGGTTTGAATTTCAWTTTGTCTTTCACAGATGTCAATGAGTGCCAACCTTTAGCTGACTGTATGCAGAAGTGTGAAAATACKCCTGGAAGCTATCAATGCAGYTGTCACAAWGACTTCAAAGTAGACCCTTCTGATCCAAGAAAATGCATCTGTTAGTCGATTTTACTGATATTTTTATTCAAATTGTTTTCTTTTCGTACAAGGTTGAATATTTGTTCTGTGTTTCTTTTTTCTTTAGCCAAGTTTCCGTGCAAAGATGGGACTCACGGTTGCCAAGATATTTGTTTTGAGTCTAATGACGTAGCTATGTGCGCCTGCCATATGGGATATCAGTTGAAATCGGACAACAAGTCATGCCAAGGTACCCAATAATCTTGCTACGAGAAATTGCTCTTGTCTGAACTTAGCTTCGGAATTCTTTTAGTTTAAAAACTCAAGTTACTCGCTCTTTCTGTCATTATTGCTCAGCCTACCATAGTTCATAATTGTGGCGGAATGAATTTTGGGACTGATGAATATAGTAAACGATGGAGAAAGATGGTAGCGTTCCTGTCATGTTCGACACATGCTTATTCCTTACACAAATGTCGGGTTATGCGGACAGTCTATTAAAGAATCATAACCACCCGTCGTACCTTGCGCGCTCGTATTATTGTTTACATACGTTTAAATGCGTCAAGCATACAATAAATTATAGATTGATAGTACCTGTGAGGTACTTAGTTAAAGGTATTTCTGTCCAAACTGAAAGGACGGAAGACGATTTGCGCTCACTTTAAGAAATCCTACAAATCCGCCATTTTCGTGTCCACCTAAAATGGCGCTTCGGTTTGCAAGGTACGGCGGGTGGTTATGATTCTTCAAATCTCAGGAGCTCGCTATACGGAAGACACAAATATCCTGAAATATCCCATATATAGCAATTACAACAGGGAAGACGAAAAYTCTGCACAAAATTACAGCTTGTGGAGAATTACATATTTTTCTGTTGAAAAATTCTGACTATTTAGTGTTTTCTTTACGATTTTTTCCAATTGCTTTGACGAAGACAGGGAGTTTGTCATCCCATGATACCTTCAACCCAAATCAAGATAACGGGCATAATATATTGGCTACATTGCTATTTTAACAATGCATAAGAAATATTATATGATCTTCGGATTGCGGTTTTTTCTAAGATATCGATGAATGCAACGATGGAAAAGATAGATGTAACCAGCTATGTTACAATAATGAAGGCAGCTACGATTGCGGATGTGTCAATGGTTTTCGTCTCAGTTCTGACAATGTGACCTGTGTTGGTGAGTAAGCATTCAGACATTTACACTACCGCTGAAACTTTTTGTGCAAAAACAAAACGAAACCTTTCATATCAAACAATTGCTTCAGAGAAAAATTCATTCGTTTGCCAAACTTTTGCTGACCATATATGGTAATCTTACCTTATAAGGAAGTACGTTTGATAGTTTTAAAATGGTGCTTTAAAATGGCTAAAACTTACAGAATTTGCAGAGAAATTGCTTTTCAACATGTCGGCCATTATAATTTTGTCCTAGTCCCCTCCCATCCTTGAAAATAAGGAATCCCAAAAACACAGGTAGCCCGCGAGAATGTCAGGCAATTGTTTGATATGTCAAATAGTTTCGTGAATATTACACTATATTAATGATTTGCTGAGCTATGGACTTTGAATGGTTGTATGCAAAAAACATTGCACAGTTATAAATGAATCCATTGAAATATGAACTTTTAATAGTTACATGTGTATGATATTGTACAGATGTCGATGAATGTATCGAGTGGACTTTCAATTGTTCAGCMTCGCTGCGATGTGAGAATACCATTGGATCCTACAATTGCAGATGTCAAGAAGGCTTATATTGGATTAACAATCGATGCCGTGGTAAGAAAGTAGTCTAGCTGAAAATCTATTGCAAATCAAGCCTTTCCCCATGTCTAAACTATCTCTGTCTTGTCATTCAAAGAACCTTCAATTGGAGAGAAGGAAACAACCCTTAAACCTCCACCAAAGCCAACAACGCCCTCCAAAGAAAATCTTCGTAATTCTGTCAACGTTACAATCAAAGAATTCAACATTTCAGAGGTAAAAAAGATCAATTCTTACCACTTGATATTATAATATCACAATTTTAGACTAAAAGAGCGCTTTCCTGGCCATTCGGCTTTCAAATTGACCGACTTTTTTTCATGCAATAAAATATTAAATTAATTTCCTAGGTAAATTCTCGTCAATTTGATGGCATTTCATTCGAGAGTATTTGAAAACATTAACTTGATGAACCAAGTAACTACACTAGTTTTTTTTTAAATAAATATTTGTTTTTATGGTGATGGAAATTAAAGCCTACTTTGCTTCTCTAAACCTATGCGTTGGTATTTGTTCACGTCATAAATGAGATGAGCTTAGTTATGATAAATTAGTGTGATCTCTGTTTGAGTGAATTCTCAATAAACGTCCATGCCTCTAACCAGGAATATTCTAGTTTCTTCTATTGACAAGAAAAGTCAAGTTTTGGCTTTCTCATCTCCTCATCTATTAATTGAAATAGCAAACAATGGGATGAAATAAAATTCTTTAGCTAATTTTAGGGTATTTATTGCAATATTTAATATTGATGTAATACGCTGTGATTGGTCCAATGGGGTGGTTTGCTTCAACAGCAAGTCATTCTGTTTGTGTCATAAAAAAGAACACAAGCGCAGTGTGCGTTTATTGGCGTGTTTTATTTCACATGTAAAAGACATGGCAATCTTGTATACTCAATGAAATTTCAGCTCACTACTTGTGTTTTAATTTTCAGTTGGCTCTACAACTCAATCTTGTGTTTAAAGAGGTTGCGCGTCAAGTAACTAAATTTTGTGCAGAGAAARACATTTGTCTTCCACCGAAAATACGCAAAAGGTAACACGATCCAGAGTGAATGGATTGTTTACAAATGACACCTGCATTTTGTTAAACCTTTTATAATGGATATTGTGCTAGTGCATTTGGACAAATGCAAACTCTTAATTTACATGTCATGGGGCGATTTCCAATAATACTTAATACTAGTGCATGTGCAGGAACTTTCACATAAGCACTTCTGGTCTATACACAAATCGATCACAATATTAATACTTCTCAGGGTTCGTACAGTCTTGAAAAGTCCTTAATTTTGGACCTAGGTCTTTGAAAAGTCCTTGAATTTGGAGGAAAGGTCCTTGAAAATGATACTTTAGTCCTTGAATCAGTCTTGGCTGTTGTGAAGTAATGTTTTAGAGATCAATTTTGCCAAGCTTTGAAGCAAATTGATAATATTTCAATCCTTTTGGCAATGTCTGTTGTACTATTGTGCAATATGGTGGTAAAGGAATTAATAGAGATTGAGAAAAATATGTTCCAAGAGATGTTCTTAAACAAAGTTGACTACAATGTTTTTATTGTTCTGTTTGGTAAGACACAGGACTAGTAAGTTTATTAACTGTATCTTTCTCTTTGTAATTGGTGTCCTTGAAAATTGAAAATTATTCCTTAAAAAGTCCTTGAAAAGTCCTTGAATTTTATATGTAAAAATCTGTACGAACCCTGCTTATTATCTCGCATGTCACAAAGCTAAGAAGCTGCAATATTTAAGTAGTTCATTAAGTAAATCTTGTTTGTTGCGTTGCTKGAGTTGTATGTTTGCTCTTCTTTCTTCATCCATATAAAATGCATAGCATGTAATCATAAGCACATGTGTTGCGAAAAGAAAAGCCTGTCAAGCGTATATATTAGAAAAAGGTAAACCTAATAATTATAATGCTCACAATTCATGATTGTCTTTCGAATACTGATTTCAAGACAAGCTKCCCAGAAAGCACACATTAACTGTAAGRTATCCTATRTTGTATTTTTATCAGACGCTCAAACACGTTCAYTACCTTCACTTCAAACGATGTAAACCTTGTTGGTTTTCCAATACAACTGKCTAATGCACCATCTGGCAGCATGAACGCTCTTGTAGCATTTTACGTSAAATTTCCACCCGGTGTCTCTTCAAATCTCAGCGACTCTATTGACGGTGCTATACTCGTCGATATCATAAATGGTTCACTTGGTAATATCGGCAAAGACATTGGAAAGACCTTGCTGTCCGTATCAAGATACCAGACTCAAACTTCAGCTACCACAGAGTCTCCAGTAAAGACTTTTTCTGGATTTTTCACTGAAGAGAATAACTCACYTGTTTATATAATTGGTGGATTAGTTGGTGGAACAACTGGTCTTTTTTTACTGTTGGGTCTTATTATAAGGTGGGTGAAATTTAACATAAATGTATATATCAGTTATTATGAAAAAATGGCATGTTGCATAGATAAGACACCCCGGAACTATTACATAGTGTGTGAATATACTCCATTTTTGAGTTTAAAGCAAATAACAGCTGTTTAATTTAACAACTGAATCTTTTGCGCAAACTAAGATCTTAACGAAAGCAAAAGAAAGCGCGAAAAAATGCCGTCTTTACAAAGGCCTAAGGTTTCAGCAAAAAAAAATGATATAATAATAACGCTATTGTTGTTAGAACATTTTGTCATGCTTTTGGGAATGTTGTTGTTGTTGTTTATGTGCAAGAGAAATATGCTATTATTGCTATTATTATTATTGGTTATCCGCTTTGAATTCGAGCATGGAGTGTTGAATGGCTTAATTCATTTTATGAAAGTCCACATTTTATTGCAAATAGTTAATGACTTCCTTAGCTGATTAGTTAAAGGAAGTGGGCGTTGATTTTCCCATATGCAATACCAGTATTTCTTTTTATTTGCGTGATTGTTATTGTCTATCACAATATCTTCTTTTAAGAAAGGTGTGTAACTTTCTACAGATTCTGTAGAAGACAGCCAGCGAAGAGCTATTACACTGTGCAAGACGGTACTAATGTGGATATTAAAAAACACCGCCCTTTCTTTGAAAAATCGCATGCAGAATCCAAGAAATAAGTTTACAGAGACAACAAAACCTTTAACTCAATGGTTTGTGCATTGGATGACTTGGATGACTTAAAAACTCGGTCATGATTAGTTATGCAATGCTCAGTAATTTGAGAAGGACTAGCTTTATTAATTTGAAAGGAAATTCATCAATATTGAGAATTCCTTCCTCTAGTTTTGTTAACCATCAAATAGTTTTGATATAGTTTGTACTTGTTTGGTTTTGATAATATTCTTTCAGCTTGTGGCACAACTAAAGTAATAAAAAAAACGTTTGCTGTTTATAAATCTAAAAGGCTTTAGGCAATGATGACCCAGAGAGGTCGTGGCTCAGATTGCTTGCATAATAAAAACAGTTATATACTATGATATGATTTAACGATATTTAAAATATAATTTTTGAATAAAATGTTTTGATGTTCAATTATGCTTATTGATGTGATTGCACAATGGCAAGGTGAAGGGTTTGGGATGCAAAAAAACTTAGTCGTGTAGTGTCAACAATGGGTTACAAAAATATTTACTCRTTTCTCAATTTCTTTTAAAAGCATTTTGAAAGCATTTTAGCATCTGTATTTTTATAATCCTAACCGCATCTGATTATATGTCAAATTTATAATTAAAATGACCTGAAAAAGATATAAATGATAATATAATTATTACCAGACGATTTTGACTGCGCAAAGTATTCTATCGTCATATCAAGACCCTATTGTTATGCGAAAACTATGTTTACAAAGAGAACAATGAATTTTGTGTGCAATTGAGCCTATGGTTGTGAGGAGAAAGTTTCTTAACTGGAGTATTTTAACCAAATGCACCGTAAAAATGACGCAAGGAGCGTGCTATTTACCTGTTCGCTTAATATGTTTAGTAATTGTAAAATTTCGACCCACTTCAAATAGTAGCTGCATTACACCGACTGAATGTCGACTCCTTCTGCTGGGTATGTTCCTCAAGAGAGTGACTTCTTGTTGGATTAGTTGGTAGGGCAGTTGTTCTTTCTGTACTGTTTTCTCATGTTATAAGGTAGTTGGTAAAATTTCCAAAGGAAGTCCATTTCTTAAATTACCGACGACTTTTCGTGCATGTTCTTTCATATGCTTCAAAATGGTATATCCGGGRCCTCTTCTATTTTGACATCTATTGTCTTTTTTTTCATTCATGTTACTAAGTAACGATTCTAAGCTCCCCTCAGTCGTGCTTAACTTCGACAGACTTTGCATATCTACTTTAAAGATGGAAAAAAACGGATCATAGCTGCTAAAAATACGCTCAAATCTCTTACAAATCCACACACCATTCGCGGAAATTAATTCGACGGTAAAAAGAAGTGTACTCGAAGAAAATATATTGCGTTCGCTCACAAAATGAGAAATAAGACCGACTTTGTAATGATGTGTATCGCCACAAGAAGACCATGTATACGATCGCTGATCGTCTAGTTAAGTTAACCGTCCACAAGTAATACATCATGCACTCATTTTTGATCGATTACGTCTAACTTTCTTCAGATGCGCCTGCATAAGACAGCCAACAAAGAGATCGTACACTGGTGTAAGAGGGTACAATGTGGAGACGAACCAATATCACAAAAACGACACTAAAACCTGAATTCAGAATCGAAGCAATAAATATACGTTATTAATAGGGTGTAGAAGTGTATAGTTGTGTATGTTGAAATTCATTTAGTAATTACGTCATTACAAATTTGAGACCGAATAGTGTTAGATAGATATTTCAATTGTATCAACAACTGTTTTGAAAATTCCTTTATATCCTTCATATAAGTCTCTAGTTTTGTTTTCCAGTCAGCAAATAGAAGACGTTTAATATATTATTTCAACGTTTTAACAAAGTATATTAATGTAATAGCCTTGTGGTGTTTATAAGTCTAGAAGCTTCAGTCAACCATATGAACACAGCGAGGTCGTGGCTCAGATTGCTGGCACACTATGAAAAAAAGCTACACTCCATCTTTATATAAATTTTAAATCAATGTGTTAATATTTCATTATGTTCAAGAACTTCATTATGGTAAGGAATTATCTGAAGTGCAAAAGACAAAATCTTTGCAGAAAAGTTGGTAAAAATCAACTTAATTAAAAATATATTTCTGCACGACTGATTATTTAGTTGTAAACATAATTCACGGCTTCTTTGAATTTAAGAATTTGAGTTTTCATATTTTTAATGAGTGAAAACCTTAAATTATCTTTAAAGTATCAAACGACTTTGAATCAATGTTTCATCCAGGAAATATAGGAAGAGCAGGATTCTTGGACAGAAAAAATGATTCTAGCACCAAAATCCGACTTGTAAATGACACGAATCAACCGATATACCAGGAAACTGACGACGACAAGGAATGGCAAGATGCTATTCGAACATGCTTTTTGGAAGTGCTAATCTCAATTTTAAGTTGAACAGTACAGTCATAGGTACAAGTATATGCATTGATTAGTCGCTGTGTTTTCTTGCATAAAGTAAAAAACAAACAATTCTTTGTAAAATCTTCCCTACCGCTGTTCTTGGTATTTAGTCTTTTGTATTGAGAATGAAAAACAATCCTTATTTGGMATTTCTAATATGCATCATAAGATATATTTACTTCCGCGTCTCAATAAACAAGGACAGGACGACTGGAATTATTTCAGTCCTCACAGGCTAAATGAGAAGCCTTTATATCACCAAAGATGTATTGGCTTTTGGTCTCTACCTTGCTAGGACTAGGACTGTGGCCAACAGCTATTGAAGGTGACGTACTATTATGAAACGCATGCATGTAGTTAGTGCTGCTGTCAAATTTTTCTGTAACGAAGACGACAGTTTAATCCAAAAGATCTCGACAAAAAAGATATCCCTAGAGGGAGAGTATTCTGTTGTTTGAATGTTTAAGAAACCGGCACCTACATTTACGACGGTCCCCACTCCACTGCATAGATTAATGATTCTAACTTTCGTCCCCTGTGTTTTTTTTCACAAACACGCAGTTCGATACGAATTCTATATATCATATACTATTGTAAGTCAAATGCTGCAGAATTCATGAATCTAAAAATAATTCCTTTGAATGAATACATGTAGAATTTTTTTTGGACATAAAACATAGTAAGGCCTCTGGTTTTGTGATATAGCTCTTCACTTCAAAATGCAAAGTGGGCGACATGCGAATAAGGCTAACTATTTACCAAAAGTCATTGGAAAGATGAAATATTCAAATAAATCTTGTTTTAGAGAAATCGATGTTATTTTTCAAGGGATATTTTAGAGGTCACTTAAACTTAAGGACCGTTTACACTGCAATTTTCAATTTGCAGCGCGATTGTCGCGCAACAAGTCGCCACTTTGCTCTCGCGCACCCCAAATCGTACGTTTAAACAGCCCTGCGATTGTCGCGGCGATTTTTAATGCGAGTTGCATAAAGACTTTGAGTAGATATACACTGGAGAAAATCCTGAAAGTTTCAAAGGTAGAATTGCGAGCGTTTTCGAGAAAATCAACATTCCTTGTTCTTAATGATAGTCTTTTTATAAAAACAAGACATCGCCGTGACCAATAATGGCGAAACTAATGTTTGACGCAATTGAGAAAAAAAGGCAATATACAGTGAAGCTCTTGAAAAATTTGTCTTCAAATGTTAAAATCAGCCCTTTCCTTATTTTATAGGGCATATATTAGGAACAATAATAGCATTTATTCTGAGCTATTTTCTTATAAAACTGGCTCGAAACTAAATTACTACACAAATGATTTTTGTTTTTATTTCTTTATTTTTGACATTACTAACCTATAAGTATTTGCAACAAACTATAAAAGTTTCAAATCGAAGTCAATCACTTGAGAGGTGTATTTTGCGCAGAGATCAAATCGCTCTGTTGTTGCTTGTATGTGAATTGCCCTAGTTCATTATGACGTCATATCAAAACATTCTGTTGTTAAAACGCTACGGATTATGGTCGCCAGAAGGGATCAGAGTGACTGCATATCAAATCAAATGTACATGAACAATCATTTATACATGATATATATCAAAACGCGATCCATTGAGGTTCTACTTTAGGAGACAATATAAATGGGTCCAAGTTTCTACTGTTTTCGAGCATCGTTTTCCGATGTAAACTTACTATGACGTCATAATGAAGTAGGGCAATTGCCCTAGTTCATTATGACGTCAACACATTCTATTCTTTGAACGCTAAGGATCATGGTCGCCAGAGGGAATAAAAGCGACTGAATATAAAAAAATGTACATGAACAGTCATCTATACATGACATGTATATCAAAACATTATTAATTGATGTTCTATTTTAAAAGACAATAGATCAGAAATGGGTAAACAATTTCCACGTTTTTTTAAGCATCTTGTAAAAAACATACTGTGAAATCATAATGAAATAGGACAATTGACCGCTGATGTTATATATCAACAGCTATGGTGAGAATTGAGTCCCACATTCTTGGTGTGCAACCACGTGATCAAAAATCTCCTGAGAAATAAAGAACAAAGCTTTCGCCGCCATGTTGGATGGATAAACAAGAGAAACTAACGAGGAATGTTTGAGACCTTCATCCAACATGGCAGTTGTGATGAACAATACGGATTTCACTCGCCGCTTCAATTTGTAATTCTCGTTATTTCAGAATCTCTTCGTACCTCATCAGAGTCTTTATAAATTAACAGTGCAAAATGCCAGTTAGTAAAATATCTAGTATATTAAAATCTATTTCAAATTACCTTATGACTGCAATTGAGGTTTGTAGCTATTTACAATATTGCGAAATCCTATCCGCCCCAGTGACACATAACAACGAGCACCATGTGGTTAGCTGATTGTGATTGTTATTTTATTTATTATTCTTAGCGTGTAATACTGATCTCAATGGAGACAGTGGGGAGATCTCAATCAATAAAACTTACTTGAGTAGGCCGTCAAATTGCTCTTGGACAATTGGTAAAGGCAGAAGTGATATCAACTTCATAGTCATCAAATTTCAGCCATTTGATCTGGGTGGTAATTGCCTGTAAGTAACTCCCTACAATTATATAAGATTACTTTACAAAAGTAGAAAAAGTAGTAGTTTCAGGTGGAAAAGACATAGAGCATAGATAAGACAAGAAAGAATAAGAGAAAGTTGATAGACGTAGGAATTAAAAAAAAATCAGAAGAAAAAGAAAGGAAAAAAAAAAAGAAAATAACGAAGAGAAGATGTAAGAATGACTGACTACGGTCCCGGAAAACGCAAACATATGCAAAAGTGAAATATGCCAATGTCTTCAGTATTTTATTTTTTATACCTCCTCTTCTATTTGCCGCCAATATTCGATGTTATTACATCTTGTTATCTGAGAAATTGTCTCGTGAATTCTGTTACTTTTCTTTGCTGCAGTGAGTATGAAAGTGTTTACGTTGAAGTTGCTGATATATATCAAAAGATCAAAATAAGAAAATGTGGTGGATGGCGATCATTTGAAGTTTTAATCAAAAATCGCTCAGCAGTAGTCAGATATTACTCGAAGATACACCACTTATATCACTCCTACTGCGGTCAGTCGTCCTGGTACAGCGACTGGTCCTGCAGCCAAAATATCCGCGTCTCTTTCCATATCGTTTCACAAATGCCAGAAGGTCAGTTAATTATAAATACAGTATTTTTTTACAAACGCTTGTCAAGTTAACATTTTTTTTTATTTGTTAAAATATAATAAAGACGATATATGTTATGTATGCATATTTCTTATCAAAGGTTCGAAAGCAAAGAGCTCATGGAAACCTGCTTTAAAACAATCCAAACCTGGTGAAGTTGTCATTAATTGGGATCCTTTGACGCTACCATCAAAGAGTTTTATTGTTGTACCGTTGTATAACTTTACAGCAAGTTGTGAACCATTTCTCTACGTCATTGAACATAGAAATGACACATCGATAGCAGTGGAATACCTTCGACCAGCTACTTCATACACGTTTAAAGTAGTTGCTTTCGATTATACGAACAAGACGAGGTCCCTCGAAAGCAGTACAATTTCTGTTTTAATGAAAAGTGGTACGTATTTTCAATATAATATTCATATTCTAATAGATTTTTATTTTTCTTCTTCTTCGACCTTGTCTTCATTTTCTTCTTCTTCTTCTTCTTTTTATTTCTCTATTATTCTTTTTTTCTTATCTCATCCTATTATGATTTTATTGCCATTTCTATTGATTTTGCTACTGCAATCCTCTGGTTTCTTCTTCTGAGATCTACTGGGATGTGTTCTTCTTCCTTTATCTCAACTGTTTTAAAACTGTTACTGTTATAATTTCTAAAACAGACAAATAAATCTTGCTGACTTTCAGACACAGTGAGACTCAAAGGTGGACAGCTACCTAATGAAGGAGCAGTTGAAGTATTTAAAAACGGTTTTTGGAATAAGATATGGTATCATTATTTATGGTTAGTTGGTAATCGTTACACGTGGGATATCAAAGCTGCCTCTGTTGTATGTCGATCATTGGATCTAGGAAGTCCTTCTAATATTATGTATTACAGAACATTTAGTGGGACGTCAATCCCAGTACATTTTCTGAAGGGTTATTATCGCTGTAATGGAACGGAGACCGCTCTTTGGCAATGTTCAAGTATTGATTTTACATATCCAGTCAGTCAGACGCGCGATAACATTTATCAAGCTGCTGTGGTATGTGGACGTCCACCAGGTAACCAGTTGCTTAGAAATGATTTTTTTTAATCTCGTGAAAATTAAAATGTGTATGGTCATTAACCTCATTCATACCTGTAGCATGAAGAAGGTCATTTGAAACACGTCCTATGTATCCATAATGATGTCACTTTGTAATCCTTGTACCAGCCAATTCATTCGTTTCAAGCCGAGCCTTTGTTTCTCCATAAAAAAGGAATACCATACATGCAGCCTCAAACTGACACTTCTACGGAAAATCTACAGCTACTTATGGCACTACTCCTACTTCTACAAACGTTATAACAATCAGTGCTACTGTTACCACTAGTACACCACTGCTACAACCACTACCAAAGGCTCTGGCTTGAGATGAATGAATTGACTGGTGCAAGTATTCACATATGACATCGGTAAGCATAAATATCGTGCGACTGAATTACTCTGTATAGCCTTCTTTCTTCAGTTTGGATTTTAGCCAATTTATCGAAAATTCATCGCCTATAAGGACAATAATCACAAGGCACTTCTAGTCCATAGTCTCCTCCTCTGTTGGTGCGCTCCCGAACAGGACGAAAACCAATAATATTTTATTGCTTCCGCATGCTTCCAGACTTTGTTTCGTTTTTGGCCTTTTTTTTTTGTTGTAATCTTTTGCAAGGCCGAGCAACAACAACAGTATTTCTTACTTCCACTGGCCTTCATGATCAGCCTCTAGAGAAAACAAAGCTCTTTCAACGTGACTTGAAAGAGTATTTGTAAACTTGTCGCTTGATCATTGAGTCACAGTATTTAACTCACTACGGTTGATCATTATGAATGCTTTTTTTTAACTATTAAGCAGTAACATTTAACATTTTCTATTAGACTGACATGTCCGCTTACGAGAGATTCAACTGTATATTACATATAGTATCACATTACTATTTTCAAGTTTTCCAGGAAAATATCACTGAGATGACTGGCGTTATAACAAGCCCTGGATATCCATCATCCATGACGCAAGCCGATTACCGCTGGACATTCATGCCAAATTTGACACGTGGACGTGTGGTCGTTTATTTTGATGAACTAGATTTAAGAAGAGGCGCTCATGCTGCAAGGTAAACTAGATGATCATTGATCGCTTACGTGGGCGTCCTCTAGCTGCGACAATGGGTCAGCTGCCGCCATTGAGCCATAAGCATTTCATTTTCACGATACAGTCTTTGTTTGAAATAAGTCAGGACAACCCTAAGCCATTTACTACATCACATTTTTTTACGGAACTGAACTCTAACTAACTTCCTTAAGTACCTTGTCTTTCTCAGTTTTCCAAAATAGCTAGTCGAAAGTTTTTTCTTTCAAAATACAATAAAAATTGGGCCAGATGGACTTTAACATTTTTCAACGATTTGTTTGTCTTAAAATAGACTTGCTTTTACAAGGCCATTTTAGTAATTAGCCTAGATAATGAGAAATTAACTGTCAACTAGCAAGTACGAAAAGTAATGATAGCATCTATAAACAGCAGGTGTAGCAATTGATCCTGTATAAAACATAGTAAAAAAATTGTATTTATCGTCTTGATATTGGCGAAACGAAAAATTTTACGATTTCTAACTTTTCTAACGTTTTTTACATTTCCGAAAATGAAATGTAAATGAATATGTTTTCGGCATATCATATCAGTGGTCACGCTAGGAGTTGTCACGTACGGAAAAATGTGTGTCACTCACTGGTGCGTTTGCAAGTTTGCTTGATATCTGTTCATTGTGCTATGACTGGGATTTCATCCAAACTTGTGAGTGAGGAGATTGCTTTTCTGCAAAACGCACTTAAAAGAATTTCAAAGAAAGGGAGATTGCGTTTATGCTACTGAAGGCGGCATGCAATGCAGAGAAAGAGCCATTTTTACAGGGTCGATCGAAAATCAGACAGCCATGACAAAGTTAAAGGTCATAGAAGAAGTTTTTTTTCGCTACTGATACTGAACCCTGATAGAGTCACTATAACAATGTTGTGTGTTACAACCTATAGCGAGACAAGTGCATGTTGTTATATACAAAACCACCGACATGACAACAAATAAATCGCGGGAGAGGGTATCTCACATTCCCCGAGACAATTAATTGCTAACCAATATAAACTGCTTATATTTCGAACTGTGGCATATAGTAATTTTATTATGTCGTTTCTTCAGTTACAGCAGTGTTTACATCAATGAATTAGGCACAGTGTACCGCAACGGCTTGTACCATGGAGTTATGGCAGTGCTCAGTTTGCCAGGTCAACTTAATTTCTATTCGTCTTATTCAACAAGTCGAGTTTTTAACAGAAAGTTCGGCAGGGGAATGCGAGCAAGATACTTTTCCTACAGTGAACCAGGTAAAAAAAATGTATATTGGAAACTACAAAGCGAGCTGTATCAATACTACAATAAACAATAAGTTGATAAACACGCGCGTGCGAAACAGTGTTCTTAAGGGAAAGGTACATTGTGTCATCAAAGTCAAGAATAGATAGAGGACTAAGGAGAATAGAGAGCCAGAGGGAGAGAGAGATAAAAAGAGAGAAGAAAAACTGATAATTTACCTGCATTTGTTACAGTGTCTACATTAAAGAATTGGACATTATCATTACGGATCCACAGCTACGATAGCTTAACTGTTAGTTGGAATCGGGTTAGTTTTCCAGACTACGATATCTTTGGAATTTTGGTATCCTGCAGTTCTACACAAGATTGGGACAACAAAACTCAGTACAAATTTGGAGACAGACATTTGACATCTGCAACTTTTAATGGACTGATGGGGTACACTAACTATGACGTGCACGTCTTGGCTTTGTTAATAAGAAAGGAAAATAACGGCACTTGTACGGCATACCAGAGTGTAACGAATGTAACAACTCATGAATCATGTAAGTTTCTATAATCCATTTATGTCCAACACAGATGACTAGAGTTTTATAATTAGTTCCAGGTGTGCGAATATGTCAAGGCTTGTCATGGAACTTGGGATATTTTAGGCTTTTCTCGATATGGTATACTATATTTTATGAAACAATACTGGGTACTCCATTGTCGAAATATTGTTAAACATTTGAGTCTAGGAAGTTTTAAATTAGAAGACGAGCTCTATGCCAATCATGTCAATGCAAGCTTTCCTCGACCGTCACTTTATTTTTGTTTTGGAGTTGGATTGGCGCGAGTTTACTCTAGCCAAATAGCGCACACGCTAGATTGTAAAACAAGTCAATAGGTAATGAGAGCCAAGTACGTATATTCCAGTAAACGGAACACGATCTTCTTTGACGAACATCACGACAATGTTGGTTCTACTGCCACATGTGAACAAAAGTGCATTCAGATTTATTCGTGCGTGGACGATAATAGGAGAATAGGACTCCTGTTGTGTTTATTTCATAACATATCAAAGTCACCAACAACATGTATACAAAACTCGATAAAAATCTATTCGACTTATTCACAAACCGTAACAACAACATTTGTTATTTATTTTAACGGACAGTTACTCATTATGTTATCATGTAAAAAATCCCGATCTGCTGAATTACTGCAGCTCTGAACTTCGTCATTTAAATCTCTTGCAAGAATAATAATAAACATACTTTTTTACAATCTTTAAAAACTTACATAGTCAATCTGCAGCCAGATTGTGCCCTTACTCACGATTTGAATTCTTGTTCTTAAAGTGTCCGATAGCAGTCTTCCCAAAGCCGTTTTTGCTTTTTTTTTGCTTTTTGTATTTGCTTTGTATTTGCCAAAATTGTAGTCGTTAAGTTTCTACTCAGAAAGCTTTGTTGGATTTTGGTGAGACCGTAGGCCATAAAGTTGACAGACTCCATATTGACATGGTTTTGTCGGATCTAGATACCATGTTGCAAAACCACCCTTTCTAAACAATAGCCGACTTTAGATATTTTGGTTCAGTGACCATGCACAAAAGAATTGCAGACGAGGCTCCCGGGAAATAAAGAATAAAACGATATTATACGCTCTTTGATTGGTCATTTTGAAGCGTGCACTTCAAAATAACTCTTTGCAATATTAAAAAAAAARAAWTWWTMMAWKGATAATCTTGATTTATCCTTTATTTCCCCGGAGCCTCGTCTGCAATTCTTTTGTGCATGGCCACTGAACCAAAATATCTAAACTCGGCTATTAGTAATTAATTTTTGTACATTGTCATGCTTTTTTAAGTTCCAAGAAGTAGCCCTCAAGGAGATAATTCCACTAATATTACAACAAATTCAGCAGTTATTGTCTGGAAGGCAATCCCCAGAAAAGATGCTCATGGTGTACTTCTTGGATACATAGTTAAGGTCTACAATCGTGACACTAACAGCTATGGAAATGAAATAAAAACCAACGACACATCAATCATCTTAACGGGCCTTTCACCTTTTAACCAATATCGTGTGTCGATTCGAGGCTACACTGCTGCTGGAACAGGACCATATACATACCATTATTTTTCAACGAGTAAGTATACCTTGTCCTAAATATTACTTGCATTAAGGCAATGGAAGATGAAATGCATATTTCAGATAAATGATGAGCAATAACGACTCAAGGAGAGGGCTAAGAAAATATTCAATCTCGTTCTAATATCTGCGATAATTCCTCTCAAGAAAAGACACCAACAAGTATGGTGTTTCGCATTTAAAGCTATAACAATGAACAATATGTATTTGGAGACGATACAAATTCACTAGACTTAGCTTCTGAGCCGGAATTCTACGGGTACGCGTTTGATTCTTCATACAGCATAGCAATAAAGATGTGAGAATTTGTTCTCAGGTATTGTCTATTCAGTAAAGTATGAGGTTGTTTATGGATGATTTTGAATCATTTTTTGGTAAGAATTCATGATTCCGACAATCAAGCGCTAGCGTGCGGTTAGCCAATCAGAAGAAAGCGCGGGAATCGAGCGCTCGCGGCTTGTCAGGCTCGCCCCACAAATACTTTCGAGTTTTCGTAAATGGCAGTCTTCCGACGATTTGTCGATAAAATTCCCGAAAATATTTCTGTTTCTTTAATTGCTAAAAACATTTAAGTCTTTTTGAGAAAGTCCTAGAGAAAGGATTTAATTATTATGCGTTAACATTTATCACTTCGTGCTTTTTTTCCGCACATCTTCGGATCCATTTCAATCATTTTTCTAGATTAGTTTTAGACTTAGGTAACAGAATGAATCTTCCTCTTTTTAACTTGGCTGTGAATCCTTTTTGTCGTTCTTGTGGATTAAGCTAGACACTCTACACCTTACCTGGATTTTCATTAGTTGATGAAAATACGTTCGTATGGAAAATTGCTAGTTTCATCAATTTTTAAACCGACTTCGATCAGCAATGCCTTGAAAAAATGCTGAATCATTTTATGACTGACTAATGGAACCCTCGATGTGTAGTGGTTAGGGGTTAGTACGGTAACGGGAGATTTCTCGACCAGACGCATTAGCCATTAGGTAGTGCAAACGCAGTGAATATTATTTATATGTAAAGTACTTGTGTTCTGTAGCGTGTGATATCTATCGCGATGGAGACAGTGGGGAGATCTCAATTGATTCCACCTACTTGAGAAGGCCGTCAAACTGTTCATGGACAATTGGCAAAGGCAGAAGTGATATCGACTTCATAGTCATCAAATTCGAACCATTTGATCTGGGATATTATTGCAAGTAAGTACTTTACACTGAAAATATGACGCACTTTAAAGGGTTTGAATTCGTAAATTTGATTTTAATATTATGTAAGTGTACAAAATGATGTTAATTTCCGTTGTTGTACATTTGGTGTACAAAAATTAGGTAAAAAGCGAATAATGTCATTGAGAATGCTGCACTAAGAAAATTCAGCGTCAAACCCGTTCTGATTTTCAACTATTTATCGCCATTTTGGCTTCTATATAACGCACTTTATGCAATTTTCTTTGCTGCAGTAATTATCGACAGCTTTACGTTGAAATAGCTGATGCAAATCGCGAGTATAAAGTGAGGGAATGTGGTGGATGGCGATCATTTGAAGTTGTGATCAAAAATCGCTCAGCAGTAGTCAGATATTACTCAGAGATAAATTACTTATACAACTGGTACGGGTACTGCCGCTGGTACAGTAACTGGTACTGGCAGAGGTACTGCAGCCAAAGTGTCAAAGTCTCTTTCCATGTTATTTCGCAAAATTTGGCAGCAGGTCAGTTCTTATCATTATTATTGTCCTTTACGAAGTTGTTTTTCTTCTTCTTCTTCTTTCTAATACACAATATTTTAATAACAAAACTATAAAGATTTTGGTTTATAAAATAAGATTTATTTATTTATTTAAATTAGTGAAATAACAAGCAAGTTCAACATAAAATTCAGCATTTTTACATGGGCTTCCAAAGGAAGACCATGTCTTAAATTACCGACGTTTCGTCTGTGGTATGCTTCAAATTATATCCGGGACCTTTTCATTTTTGACATCTATTGTCTTACTGTCATCGCCTCGTGCTTCTTCGGACCTTTGTATAGCCGGCAAACTTTTAAGATCGAACATGTTTGATCTAGGTCATCTAGCTTCTACAAATACGCTAGATTCTTTTACAAATCCACACACCATTCGCGGCATAGCCACACTAAAAAAATTCGAGAGATACGGCGAATTTATCGTGATGATCTATCTGCTTATCGTGAATTATATATCAAACATTAGCTTATCAAAA